GTCTCTGGAAGCAGAAGGGCAAGACTGTGCTGGTGCCACTTCTCCGCAAAGCACAAGCACCAGCCATTGAAACAAAACAAAGGCTTCCTGAAAAGAAGCTATGGCAAATGACTATTTCACGGCACAAGCACAGACACCACAGCCTTGCTGGAAGCTTCGGTACTTCCCGACGGGCCCGGGCTGCTCCACGCAGGCCCCAGGGCTGGTGCTCAGCGGGTGGCACTCCTAAGCGAGGGTGCAGGAATGGGTGGGGGGAATAGGTGAGCACCGACTTCCCACTGAAAAGCAGATAGCACTCATTTTAAAACCTTTTAAGGTTCAGGGAAGTCTGCAGGTGCGGGATTGTCTGAGGGAATTAGGGGCTTGCCCAGTGGTAGCAAGGATTGCAGAGGAGCAGGACAGTAAGAGATGCTGCTGGGGAAAGCAGCTGCCCTAGGACAACTGTGCCACCTAGAGACAAGTGATATTGGCAGATTAAGACACTTAGTGCTTTACCTCTCGCAGAGAAGGTGCAGCCCAGCCATGCTAGCTGAGCCTTACCTGCACCCACCAAGCAGTTGTGTGCCCAGGGTTTTTAACATATATGGTTCATTCATGTTTATTCACGTTCTGCCTTTTCCCCTCTCCATGGAGCAAATCACAAAATAAGAACATAGCTACTTTAACAGGGCCACGTTTCATCGCACGGCGAAGAGCAAGCCAGCATTTTGCAGGGTACCTGCGCGGATGCCAGCCCTGGGCCAGACACAAGCTTGCCCCAACCGGAGCCGCGCACGAAGGAGACGGTCCCGCTGGGCGCCCCGGTGCCAGGGGCTTTTCTGGGGCCCACGCAGACCACCTGCCTGCTCCGAGCCGCTCCAGACGTCGCTCAGACCAGGCCACCTTGGCGTTTCCAGCAGCAGCAAAGCCACCACGTGCCAACGTGCCCATCGGCGCTCCAGCTGCCGGGCAGAAGCAGTGGCAGGAGCACCTCCGAGGAGCTTCAGCTCCGCTAGCTGGTGCACAGCAGGGCTATTTAGTGGGGAATCAAATACACAGATTAAATACTATCCAACAGCAGTAATTGGACAGTAGTCGTTTCTGTCTCCAACACTGTGGTTCTGTGATTTAAACTCTTATATCGTTCCTTGCTGGGCAGCAGCGGAGAGCTGCTGTCTCTCAGGGAGACGATGCAGCACCACATGCAGTGAGTAATGCAGCTGATGTGGAAAAGGCAATAATAAAAACAACTTTAAAAGACAAGAGGCATTTATTGAGGGGGGGTTTGTACCAATTGCAGATGAGAAATAGAAGCCATGGTGCGTTTACATCAACCATAAGTTTAAAAGCAATCAAGTACAGATTTCTTCATCAAAACATACTGTGAGAAAAACAAGCGGTGCTCGCTAGGCTGGGCCGTATCGTGCAGGAGGTTCCCGCGTCCCCCAAGGCCTCCTCACGCTGCCCTCGTGCCCCCGAGGCTCTGAGACTCCTGCACAGCACCAGCCGCTTTATCAGGGTCCTTGCATGCCTGCGCTCTCCATCAGGACAACGTTCGGCGGCGTCACTGTTCGAGAAGCGTTTTACATGTAGCTCGACCTGCTCTCCTTACACCTTGGAGGTAAATAAGGTAAGAAAAAGCACTTAAACTGGAGCAGACGCTGCACAGTGCAGAGCAGCACCTGTCTCCCTGCAGCGCAGTGCAGCGCAGCGCCGGTGGCAGCGGCATTGCTCTCCCGCGCTCCACGCAGGGCCAGCGCCAGCACCGGCACGGCACGGTGCGCGCAGGGACCTGCCCCGGGGCCATCCCCGGCGCCCGCCCCCAGGACCGGCGAGCGCTGCGGTCTCTGCAGGACGCAGCGAGCTGAGCCCCACGCGCCTTCCGCGCGGCCCCCGCTGGGTTTGCTGAAGGCTCCCGCACCCTGCTGCAAAGCAGCCCAGCACCGTCCGCCCCGCCGGTCCGCACGGGTGCATTGGCAGAGCCTGAGCCGCACCAGGCAAGCGTAGCAGCTCCCCTGTTCGCACGCTGCGCTGCAAGGCAGCTTGGCTGCAAGAGGCTTGCTGAGTGCCAAGGGCTGGAGCAAAACGTGCATGTGTGCATGTGTGTGTTCGTGTGCGTGTGTATGCGTGTGCATGCGTGCGCATGCGTGCATGCGTGTGTGTGTGTGTGTGTGTGCGTGCATGCGTGCGTCCCCGGTGTGCCTGACCCCTTCTCCAAAAAATGACGCCTGCATGGAAATCCCTGCTTCCGGCACCGGGTGGGTTTGGGCTCCGGACCTCGAGAGGCTCCGGCAGTGTCACCTGCGCACAGAGAGGGGAAAACATTTCTACGCTTCCCATCACCGCCGGGTTTACAGAATCTTGTCAGTCTGATACGGCCAGATTTTGCCCCAATATCTTATTACTGAAAAGCCACAGCAATTTTCCGTCAATAAACTGAAATTTTAGCGCTAGGCATAGAGAGGCCACAATAGCTCCCACTGCCAAGATGTTGAGCAGAACAGGGCAATAGCGAGACAGGCTGAACAGCCAAAACCTTCCTCGAGGAAATCACGCCGTGCTAGGCAGAGAGCTGAACCAAACACGAGCGCAGGACAGGCCAGGGCGCGCGCCAGGACTTCCTTCAACCGGCCGTCCAGCCTCGGGGCTGGCGCGTCGCTGCGGTGCGGGAC